TGGTCACACAGCATGCTGAGCACAGCACCACATATGAGCTTCACGCTGCACGTGCAAGAGGCAGGCGGCAGAAGGGGACGCTGAGGCTGACAGGCGTTGCATACACCGAAGTAAATAGGTGACGGAGGTGACACACACCTGACTCTCTCAATCCCTTCCTTGAGCTTAAAATCTGGCTATCAGAGAAAGGCTCACACACTTAAAAAACAGAAAACAATAAAAAAGAAAGATATGCAACCAAATACAGCTGGGAGAGGGGAGCGGTTAGAAGGGGGGTTCTGTGCTCATGGAGGCCTCATCTGACAGCCCTTCACATACCGGCTCAGAGCGAGGCCAGTGCTCCGCCGGCTCTGAGGCAGAAACAGGGGTCAGGCAACCCACCGCCCCGCGGGACCCCAGTCCTCACAGCACCCCCTCCTTCCCACCCATTAAAGGCCTCACCACGAGCTGAGGGCAGGAGGAGAAAGGAAACGTGTCAGGCCTGCCCCGTGCGGTGCGTCCTGGCTGGCTTTTGTGCCTGACTTCCTGAAGCGGGCGGCGCGGTCCCACAGCACACAACCAAACGTGTCAGGGACACCCCACCCCATGAGAAGAGCCGCGTGCACAGGAGGGCTGCGTCCCGTTCCCCGCCTGGAGCCACCGTCCTATGAGCCTCATCACCTTGCCCCTAGCTCAAAATCCTCCCAGCGCTCTTGGGATAAACTCCCAACTCCCTAGCACGTTAGACACGTCCTCAGAATGTGTGCCCCCGTCGGCCCCTCCTCACAGGTCTCGTGCCCTCGGGGTAGCTCCCATGCTGCCCTCCTGGCGTTCATTACAGCAGACGACATGGTCTCCTGCCTCAGCGCCTGCGCCTGCGCCCCGCCTGGAGCCCTCTCCAGCCTTCTCTTTCTGTGACCGCCCCCCATCTCTGGAGCTTGAACTTCACCTTAGGTGGGATGTCCTGTCTGATGCACCCCAAGCCCCTCCGTCCCCCCTAGCTGTGGGCACTACACCTGGCAGCACCTCTGCCCTGCACTTGCCACATAAGGGTACATGTGACCCCACGGCCCTTAATCCACACCAGAGTATTTATTAATACCCAGGACACATGCTGCGGAGGGAGCTGGGGAAGAGAAGGCCACGCAAGACAAGCTCTTTCCTACGTTTAAGAAGCCTACCTAGTCTGTCGTGCAAGGATTATATCTTATTAGTCATCCATCATTAATGAAACTTAATAAATTAATCAATATTTGTGCAGAGCCTTCTTGTTTACAGACATTTTCACGCATGCTGTCTCGGATAACCTTCTACGCGTGTCTCAGGAACCGGGAATGTTATTTGAAAAACACAGTCAGGTGCAAGGAAAATGCAGAAAGTGAATAAAACACCTTCCCTCTCATTTTGCGCTTGGCCATCAGCAGTGAAGTATTTGGGAGTGCACTGCGATGTAAGACCGTTTGAAACCACTGGACAGCTTTTCAGATCCTGTCTGCGTCTATGTGACTGCAGTTTACCGTGATCCGGTCTGGTATCTTAGAAAAAGTGATTGGTCAGCTCTTCCCCTGGGGACCGTGCAGCCCAGCGGGCGGCCAGGCTCCTCTGAGCCTGCAGGCCTGAGTCCACTGGCCTCTGCCTCACAGGAGAGAGCGAGCAGCGCCGTACTGTTACACATGGTCTACTGAGAAACGCTGGAAACCCATCACAGGAGAGCAGCTGACACAGGCGCCTCCAAAGTGGCTTCTAGGTGAGTGTCCTGGAGTGGATGCTGGCGGGGGGCCTCACCTGGGCCTCCTCCCAGGAAGACGTGCTGTATGCACCCACGTGTCAGCTTAGAGTGACTACAGGTGCAGTGCCTTAGCCCAGCCCCACTTCAGCTCAAATAAATTAGCAAATTGTCATAAATAGAAATTACGCTAATGGAAAGATGGGTTACGTGATTAATGAGCCTCTTTCCCGTGACTTTGTTTTCCAAATTGCATCGTGAACTTTGAGAATGCTGATGCTGGTTGTTTGCCTCTCAGGAGGGGCACCGGCATCTCAGCTCAGCTCCCTGGTGTGAGAGACCCAACTGGACATAAAATGCCAGGCAGCTTGACGAGATGCCAGCAGAGCGTCTGCAAGTGGCTCGTCCCGGCAGGTCTCGCTGGGCTGAGAATTCTCTAGAGCCCAGGACGGCGGGCAGGTGAAAGGGAGACAGCACTGCAGGGGGGTCCCAGCCACAGTGCTGCCACCTCTTCAGGCTCCATCTGAAAAATGGGGTAATTCGGGGGCCTAGGCACAGACCAGAGGCTCTTCTGCTGTCCCAGCAGCCAGGTGGCCCAGCTCTGCCGCTTAGAGCTAGCCAACCTCACGGGGGCCTCAGTTTTCCCATCTGTGGAACGTAGATAAAAACTACTTCCTAGGAGTTCTGTAGAAGTTAAGTTAGTAAGTCTAAGTAACCACTCAGAGCAGTGCCTGGCGTCTGGCAAGTGCCATATGGGCATGAACTGTAATTTAATGATTCTATTACATAAGATGCACATGCTCACGATGACTGTCTCACCAAAAGGACACAAAATGTGTATGAGCCCAACATGAATCCAATACACAGGTACACCACACACACACACCACAGTCACACACACCAGACACACACAGTCACACACAGCCACGCACACACACACCACACGCACTCTCACACAGTCACACACACACACACACACACACACACACACACACACACAGGTTTGAAACAGAGCTTCGAGTGCTGGGGAAAGTCCTCCTTGACCCTCATAAACCAGTCACATCTGAAATCTAGGCTCTCCGTGTACCAAACCCTGATCCTTTCAAAGGAATTTTAGGGGAGCATGGCTACCGCATTTGGATTCTGAGGAGACAGCAATCAAATCTGTGTCCCCACCTTCCTCCCTCTGTCCCCACAAAGGCCAAACAGCCAGGGCAACCTCATAGCACTGACGGTCAGATGCAGCCCTGTCCCCTGAGGGGCTGGAGCCTCTGAACCAGCGACTGCCGAAAGCTGTCACAGCAAAGCTCCCTCAAAGCAGATACAACTGCACTTCTGCACCGACTCACGATGATCAAGGAATCAGCGGAGCTGATGACAGGAGCTGTTTGTACTAAAATTCATGGAGATGCAGCTATTCCTCCTAACATGACCAGAAAAACATAGTGTCTGTGACTTACAGGAGGCGTGTTTAAAGATGTCTAATTGCTTCCAGAGGAGGAGAAGGCAGCTCCATTAAGAAGTGCTTCTGAGAATGAGCTAGAAATTCTGAGAATTTCACCATGCGAGGTGAAAAGGTGATGTTCGGCAACTGGCGCCAAGAGTTCAGTCCCTGCCTGACTGACAAGGGAGGAGGGGCCAGTGGGAGGCAGACTCTCCTTATGGGAAAAGGAGGTGCCCGGTGTGCTGTTCCGCGTTGGTTGTCCTGCTTCTGACTGAGGAAACTGAGGCCACTGGGCCTGTAGTCTTGGGTTACACCTGTGAAACCACAGATAAAAAGTGGGGACAATCACACAGCCGCTGTTGAGCTCCTTGGGTTTACGTAGGGCGACGTGCGTCTACAAGGCCAAACACCGACCCCACTGAGCAGCGCACAGCCCGGGACGTGGACCGCTGGGCAGAGCCGCTGGAACGCGTGACCCTGCACATGGAGGGCATGGCTGCTCCACACCCTACTTCCCGGTTATTTACATCACCTGACCTCTGCGTCCCGCAAAGATGCTCCCTCTCTCACTCGGGGACATTGGCGCTTAGGTGCCTGAGGCCCAACTTGCAGTTGGGGCTCCTTGAGCCTCTGCCTCGCCCTTAAAACAGCCAGATGGTTACCAACGGTCCCCAGACAGAACAGGAAGACGCGTGCTTCTCAGACCACCTGGCAGAGGCATTGCCCAGATGGCCACGTCCTTGGCCTTGGTGGGATCAAGTGAATTGTGCACCCAGTTCCTGTCAGGAAACCTATGTGGGTTCGGATTCTGATATGTCAGCAAGTATCTCACCAACCCCTAAAATGCTGTTTGAAGGGAGATAAGCAACAAAAAGAAAGAAAAGGAGCAGGTGAGAGGACGCCATGCTTGCCCCGAGCTGGCCCTCGCCTGCGAGCTCCCAAGCACTCTGCTTTCAGCGTGGTTCTCAAAGCCCGCTGTCTCCATGTCAAGTGCTTATTTTTTCACAAGCTCCTTGGAGATGGGGGTCGATCTGCCCCAAATCCACTCTGGTTCGCACAAAGGAACTTGCTCAGCTCCTGAAACCCATGCCACCTGCAGACGGAGGATCTCTCCAGAGACAGAGTCTGGAGAGGTCTGAGACCACACGACAAGCTGGGACTCCCATGCCCACAGAATCGACGTGTGAGTAAGTAACAGCCACCCATGCCAGAGCCGCCTCTTCCTGGAGACATTCTCTGGGCGAGCCGTCCTCTCATGTCATAGGACCGTGGGGGCATTTCCCACCCTGGTCCCCTCCGTAAAGGCTGCGGAACAAACACATAAACAAATGAGCCTGGGGTGTCTCCAGAGCGCGCCCCCACGTGACCACATGCCAGCCACGAGCCAGGCGATGATCTGAAGCCCTGGCAGAGGCAGCGACTTTGCAACACACTCTTTCCTAGCGCAGTCCTTCCAAACACCCTCAGTCCTTCGACATGGCAGCTGGGCCGTGGTAAGACGCACAATCCGATTTCAGTTCCCAGACAACTGCATCCTGTGGTCAGCAGTTAGGCCGCGAAACTCCTCAAGCCCAGCGCTAATGGGCCATCAGAACCGCCACTGACATGACATGAACGCCGCCAAGACACACGTGCCCACGGCCAACGCAGCGGCAGCCCCAGCGCGGCCTTGCCTCACACCACTAGTGGGGCCCTGAAGTGGCGAGAGGCTAAGAAATGGCGGCTCTTTGGCCCCTGTCTCCTCGCCATATCAGATAGCACTGCTGAGCTATTTGCGGCTAAAATTCAACAGCTAACCCCCTGTTGAGCCCCCAGCAGTCAGACAAATGGGGTCCCCCACAGAAAGGATATGATCCTCCAGCGGATGTCCAGCTTGCTGCTGACCTCCAGGCCTCGGGCTTCCTGCCTCTCCTCTTCCAGCTGCTTGGAATTTGCAAATTGCCCCTTCTCCCCAGGGGATTCTGGGAAACTCTCAAAGTTGAACTTGTCCACTTGAATGGCCATCCTAAGAGAGGGGGGAAACACAGCTGAGCATTAATCAGGAGGGCAGTTTCTTCTGCTGGCTGTTGGAGAATCAGCACACATCAGCGTGAGACAGTGTAATGAATCATTATTGTAATTCATAACAGATTCATTCCAAGGAAACGAAATAACAGACTCCCAGGGTAGCACTGGCTTCAGGCTGGTTCAACGCACAGTTCAGAACTGAAGACACAGTCACAGGTTCCAGCCTCAGAGAAAGCTCGGGTGCCTGGAAGAAAATTTACGTCCTGGAATAGGACAAGGCAGACAGGACCCCATGTGGGAAGTCCCAGAGAAGACTAGCAGTTAGTAACCTGGGGACCCAAAAGCCTTCTGGGAGCTCTGGCCTCATCATCAGAGCCCTGCTGTCACTTCACTCTTCATCCTCAGCCAGACAGACCTGTCACACACGTCATGCCCCACCGCCCACCAGCACCCACCTGCAGCACCCGCCTGCAGCACCCGCCTGCAGCACCCGCCTGCAGCACCCGCCTGCCACTCCCAGCCCCCTGCGCCCAACCCACTTGTCTTCAGAGCCACCCCCTTCAGGTTTCTCCTCAACTATCACATCCTCTCCGAAGGCTCCTGGCTTTGCTGGCTCGCAGCCTTGACCCAGCACTCTCGCTCTCCTGGCAGTTTCTAGGACACGCGAGGCTCTTCCTGCCTCAGCCTCTGTGCTCACGGCCCTCTAGCTGGGAGCATTCTTGTCCCGACTCCTGGCACAGCTGGAGTCCTTTGTTCTTCAGGTTTGAGGTGAAGAGAGGGGTTCCTGGCCACCTGGGCTACAGACACTCTCTCACCTGCCCTGGCCTGTCTCCATCGTAGCATCAGGTTATCTCTGAATGCTTATTTCTGGACTTAATTGTCTATCAATTCTACCGGAGCTGAGCTCCCTGAGCTCAAGGATCCCCTTGGTCTTGTTGCTGGTTGTTTTTTTTGTTTGCTTTTTGTTTTTTTTTGTTTTTTTTAAGTTGAGCCATCCTGCTACCTGTTGGCAGCTCAGCGGCTGCTCAGCTCGGGCTGGACTCGAACCGCTGTTGCTCAGAGCTCACACTCTTGAGTGAGCTCTTAACCAACTGAGCCACTCGGCCGGCCCTCCCTTGGTCTTGTTGACCGCAGTCCCCCAGGCCTAGAACAGTGCCTGTCACACCGCAGTGAGCAGGAAACAATTCGCTGAGTGAGTGAGTGACTGAGAGCCTTCCCGACCCCCGCCTCCCCTCGCTGCTGTCTGGGCCTCAGTACCTGGACCCACGTCCAGAGCGCCCCAGGTCCTACAGCACCTGGTCTGCAGAGGGATGCGTGCCCGGTACTGTAACAAGCGGCCCGCGGCCTGCCTGCTCCCAGCCATGACTCACGTGGGCAGGGACTGCCTGGCGGATGTTTGAAACCGCACCTCTTAGCCCACAGTCGGGCACACAGCAGGTACTCAGTAAAGGTACGTTACATGGATGGATGAAAGGTGAAGGTGAGGTGGGGGGAGGGGACTTCTCCATATCAGGCCCCCGGAGCTCTGGCTCCAACCAAAAGAGGACTGACAGCCAACCAGTCGAAGCATAAACGTAGGCGTCCGTGTTACCTCATAGCCTGTGCTGGGGCCAAAACACCCAGCCGAGCACAGCAGGCTCCACCTGGCCCGTGGGGCTTTCTGCGCTAACAACCAGGAAAGGACAGGGGGGGTGTTCAGGGCGTATCCACAAGGCTAAGCCCAAAGGAGAGGCCCTGCCGGCCACGCGGCTCAGAAGGAAGGCCCGGGCTGTCGATGTGCCTCCAGCATCCAGCCGGGAGCGCGATTCGGGCTCGGCCGCCCAGGGGGGTTAGCGACGCCTCGGAGCAGGAGCCAGGAATACACACAAATTACATTTGCTGCTCTTTTCTGATTGTAAAAGTAGACTCTGAAAAAAGTTGGAAAATAGAGAAAAGCCTAAACAAAACAAGGCACTCAGAATCTTATACTATGATTTTAATATTTCAATTCAATAGTCCTCTTTCCTTAGTGTTTGTATTTCACTGCAGTTTACATAATTATATATGTATAAATCGTTATATAAGTATCACTTCATACATGTACACACATATAAATATACACATATGCATAATTTTAAGACTTGTTTTTATGCTTTCAACATATTAAAAGTTAGTCTGCAAAATATTCTATCAAATGGCTGCATCAAAATTTACTTACAATTCCCCTATTTTTTCTGACTCTCAGATAGTTTCCATTTTTTAAAGAAAATACTACTGAAAAAAAGCATACACATCTTTATGCTTAAATTCCTTGTCTGCATCCATGACTCCCATCAGGATGCAATTCTAGCAGAGGAATCGCTGATCTGAAAGTGCGAGGGTTTGAGGCTGGAGGCAGAGGACCAAGCTCCTCGGAGGGACGAGGTGCTGCCCCACAGAGCGAGCGGGCGCGCTGTCTGCATCCTCGCCAATACACGACCGGTTTTTAATCTTTGCTAGTAAGACGCAAAATGCTTCCTCACAGATGCTGTAGTTCGCAGGTCTGAATTACTCTCGAGGTTGAACACATTTTCAGGGGCTTATTAGCCTTTATCTTCCTTCCCAGCGAGTTTGCCACTCGAGCAGCCAGGGCGCTTCTAATGGCCCAGCCGGCAAAAGCCCTTCCTGCCGCCCACCTTGGAGGCAGGCTGAGCAAACCCGTGCTCGCTCCAAATGAAAGGTGAGACTGTTTCCTAAGTTTCACCAAAAAGGTCGGTTTCAGTTCATCGCCTGATAACCCAAAAAGAACTAATAACTCCCAGCTTCCCGACGGGCTTAGACACAGACTCAGCGCTATGGCGAGGACCCTTGCTCTAGACCTAGCTGCAGACCAGGCAGGACTGGACTTTTCGTGAAGACTGGAGGCTGTCACTTTCGTCACGGAGCCACCCTGAGTGGGAAGAACAGGCTCCCCGGCGAGAGATGTGCATGGGGCTGGCCACAAAGAGGCTGTTGGAGGCAGCGCTGCAAAGTCAGCCCCCCGCCCGCCACGTCAGGATGGCGCATGGAGAATCGTGGAGTGAGGGGACACCTCGGGGCTGGGGGTGGGGAGAGCATCTACAGCAGTCACCCCAAAAAGGGAAGGAACCAGGCCCCGAGAGCAGGGCCTCGTCCACCCTGTGGGCACCCAGGCGGCCGGAGGGCACAGAGGGAGCTCCAGCTTTGGAGCTGACCCCCTGGACAGGACCCCCCCGCTCTGCCCCGACTTGAACGTGACCTTGGGCTCGGCCCTCCATTTCTCTGAGCATGTCTGTGGGACGTGACCCGCAGTGACCCAGAGGGAAGGTGCAGGGGTTCAAACGTTCTCACTCGGTGCCAGTCGGTGGTGGCACCTCAAGCGGCCCACGTGTGGTGATCCTCCACCTATTTTCTCCATTAGCAAGCGGTTCTCCACAAGAACGAAGCCACAAAACCTTTACACTGGGTTACAGCCGCAGCGCCCGCCCCTGCCGCACGCAGCCTCTGGCGGGGTGATGCCCACGTGCCCGCCGAGCATAACATCAGGGCACGGCTCCTCACTCTGGGTTTACCCTTGGACCCGCGAGACCTTTAATTGGGGCTGAGGCAACACAGGTCAGAGAATATCTGTGCAATCCCCACCGCACAGTGTCCGAAAAGGATCTCAGAAATGTGGCTGGTCCTGTGGCAGTCACAGCAAAAGCAGAAAAGGTTATTGGAAATAACACAGAAAAGG